CCAATGACACAGATAAACTACAACCCAAACACCAGCGATGAATCTTTCACATTGCTAAAAGTAATCAAGGTGGATTTAGAGATCATCAATGTTTCCCCACTATAAGGCATTAAATCATTTCTACATGAGATAATACACATAATGTGAATCAGTATCCAGAATCAACCAGCGAAAAAGGCAACTATCACCATTATCAAAAGGAAGTAACTATTTTATTTAACACCAAGTATCAGGTTACTCTCAGTGATTAGGGTCCTTAGGGTTTTGGATAACACAACAGTTTTCCTTTAATATACTTCTCCTCTTGCATACACGCTAGGTGTCACACGATGGGCGCTGCCTCTTTTTTAAGCCAATGTGCTAGCACTAGAGGCATTAAGGCACGGCCAGCACTGGTGGTCTAGGAGGTGAGGGCAGCACTGTCTGCGATGGCAGGTTGGGGGCGGGGAGTAGCATGTGCAGTATGGCCCAGGACTTCAAACAAGGAGGATAGTTGTTGCCCTGGGCCAGACGGGTCAGCACATAAACGGGCATATCCTCCTTTTTTGTGTGTGTGAAGAAAAACTGCACAAAACATTGGTTTCCACGGGAGAACACTTGGGAAGGAGGACCTAGGCCAACATTTAAAGAAATATCAATACATTAAATGCACAAGTACGGTTCTAAAATAATACTCAAAAGTATGCACATGACCGGCAGGGCCCTTCACTCCTAGAGAACAGAGAGCACTCATCCTGGGGGTGAATTTCCTTATATGTAAATTGAAAATGCTCCACGATTTTCAAAGGAAATGCATGAAAAGACTAAGATCGGAATTGGGTTGAATAACGTCACATTCAACATGCAATTATTAGCAGATATGAAATCCCCAAAGATCCTAAATGAAGTCCGGTGGTGGCCGGTGACCGGCACTTCCCGGAATTCACTGTGGTAAAACAACAAACGCTCCGCCAATGTGTGTATTTTTATTTTTACATTGAAAATGAAAATTCCTTTATTTTTAGTAGGTATATGAAATAAGAGACACAAAAACTAGCTTTTCAACAAATTTAAAATTTTAATGGTAAAATAAAATGAAAGGTTAGGTTAGCGAGCCGCTTGAAGCCACTAACTGTCGCAAAGCAAGAAGCACAAAGACAATTAAAACCACCTTTTCCTCATTTGTAAATTGAAAGGAACGTGAAAATCTTTAACGCAAAGCTTATGAAAAGGGCCAGGACCCGCATTTACTAGAATAAAATGATACCAAACACAATTTTTTTCTACAAAACAAAATCCCGGACTGTGTTAACGGCGGATAACGACATGGTTAACGAGAGCATTCACTGTCGTAAAACGCCAAGGACTCAGCCAACTGATTGCTCTACACTGTAAATCGAGAGTACTTCAAAACGTTCATTTTTAAGAAAATTTATAAAGAACAAGGCCAGAATTTAACAAAATAACTTATGTCAAACACGCAAGTATATTATAAACGTAAAGGCGCTCAATCAGATGTTAAATTCCTCCCCTGTTGATAAAAATTTACACCGAACCATTTAAAGGAAATTTGTGAGTAGCGCCAGAACCAAAATTTAATTGAATCCCCGAGGATGAGCATGTAAAATTAAATTAAATGCCTGACAGGAGCGACTCCGGGGTATTCAGAGTTTGTAAAACTTTCCAGTGCCCAGCGGGACAATTCATTTCCCAAAGTGCACACTGAATACACTTTCATGTGAAGAATATTTATGAAACACGGCGAAAATAAAAATTAAACAAATTCAAATGACTGCAATGTAATGAAAGAGGGAAAAGAGCGCACCATTATACTATGTTATATTATATTATAAAATAAAACAAGAAACAGAATACCTGGCGGAGGGTGATTGATTCCCTTCAGGGACTTAAAGCGACAAGGTCTTGCCGACCAAACTGCTATTTTCCTTATTCTAAAATTGCAAACAACACAACCTGTTTTGTGGGAAAAGCACAAAAAGAAAGGCGCCTGGACCACTCTTGGTTGAATACGACGATATTAAATACACAAGTACATTATATACAAGTGCACAACAGCATTCAATGGTAACTGAAGGAGATTCCGATGGTCAGTCAACAACCCCGGAGCCAACCAGGCCGCTGTTTACCCATTTTCACACGGAAATTGTCAGGATTTTTTTTTCCTTTTTAAAGGCAACATATGAAGAAGGCCGATTCCGAAATCAAACCAAACAAATGACATTAAACATACAGTCATGTTATTAAACGAAACAAAAATACTGTGCTCCAAGGCAGCAAAGCGGCCAGCAGCTGTCAAAAATGCACTCACACTCCTCAAGGCCTTACTTTCTCTTTTCGGGTCGAGGATGATAGAAATCTTGTCACTGCTAAGAAATCTCAGGAAAATGGCCAAGACCAAGATTTAAACAAATACCCGGCAACAATGTCCACCCAACAACATTGTAAAATAAACGGCAAAATCAGCTCCCTGGCGGCCCACCGTCACTGTGATGTCCTGGACGCACAACCGACTCAGCCAAAAGCACTAGCCATTTCCTCATTTTAAGCAGCAAACGCCACACACACACACACACACACACATCCACCCACCCACCCACCACTTAAGACCACGAATGGGGGCGTTCAAGACCCACACTTAAAAACACCAAAATGATCTGGAAGACCCATCATGTTGATACATAAAGCACAACACTGCGCCAACGCGGCCAACGGACATTCCCTGTCATCAATCCAGGAGCACATGAGACATACCTGTCAAAGTACATCAGGACACACCATCTACCCGAGTCTCTCAAAATCACACTACAGAAAGCCAATTACGAAATAAAGTGAAGTAAACTTACATTTTGAGATCGCGGTACGGGGAGCCGCCATGTTCCCTCGGCACTAGCGGTAACCGTCCACGGAAGCCGCAAGTGTACAATCCAGATTTTAATGAGCTAGGTCGCGTAGCAGGGCTCCTTTGCCATCCTCCTATGGCCCCGCCTTCACACATCGTCATTGGAGGACCTGCAATGATTGACAGGGAGACTGTCCACTCTCTCCAGATCTATGAGTGGAAACGCTGCCCATAGCTCAAGGCTCAACCAAAACAACTCACCTTCGCTTATATTGCTATCACTTTTACATCTATGCCCATTCTTCAATGTGCACCTCTACTACTCAGGCCTTTACACATTATCATAGTCTCTATTTCCTGTCATTTCAGATTCTGGAAATCTTGCTGACCAGGTTTACCCAGGCCTAGTTCAACTGCACCCTCCTCCACAGAGCTTTCCATGCTTTACTTCTCCCATGCCTACAGGTAAATGTTAGTTCTTCTTTGCTCTTAGACGGGTACATGGGGAGACATCAGGGGAACCAGGGGACTCATGTGAGGTCTGGAATCAGATAGTGCTGGCCTGGGCACAGTGCGAAGGACCCAAAGTTTGTACTTGGAATTTTGGCAAGTCAGTTCAGGTTGCAAAAGAAAGACAAGGAAAACCAATGACAAGGTCGCTCATAGCGGCCTCCCAGAATTGGCCTCAGCGATTAATTCAAACAGCCCCCAACCGCCCTTTTCAGGATTTCCATATCCTATCCTGTCTTCCCTTTGTCTGTGGAAATCCCACAACCCTTCCCACTTTCAAGACTTAGGCACAAGCAGCTTCACTTCTTCTCTGGCTCCTTCCCTCATTTTATGCCCCACCGCCATCTGCAGAGTAACGATTTCTTCTGTTGCTATAGGATGAAAGGTAACTGGCTTCAGATCTTGTCTGGAAAGGACACCATGTTTCATGATTAAGTTGAGACTGGAAGCCTACTCCTTTTCAGGAGGCCATCTGCTAAGTGAATTTTACAGCCACTCAAACAGGGATATGCAGCTCACCTAGGGATGACTATCTTCAACGTTGAACTCGACTGCTCCCAACTGTGGTAGGTGAATCACATCATCACTGGGTCACGTTATGTAATTATTCATGATGTCGCCCTACCCACCCCTGGAATATCGTCAACATCCAACAGTAGCTGAGAGAGATGGTCTCATAGTTCTCCAAGAGGAAATATGAAGAAACAGCAACATGAAATTGGTTAAATTCAGTTCCAAACTATGGTTTAGGAAGCTAAAACACCAGAGACATACGGCCAGATTACTGCGCAGTGCTAAGAACACAGCAATGGGCCCACATAGGTGACTATCTAATAGAGTCTGGCTGCTTCTTTGCAAGCTCGGAGAAAGATAGGTGAGTTCCTCCAGAGTTGGGGGCTTGGGGTAAGACTTTGACAAAGATCCAGATGGCAGGAGAGTTGTTGCAGGCTTTGTTCAGAAATCAGTGAAGGGATGGATCTGGGAACTTAATCCACATGGGGAGGGAAGAGAAGGAAGACAAAAGAGATAGATGTGAATCCTGTCTCAGGATCTCTCAGCTCTTTCCTCATGTGTTACCAAGCTTCTCCCTCTGGCTGGCCTCAGCAGATGGACACACGCTGGATCCTCTTAATACTCGGCATATGACGACCAATGCCACACAGGTTCTATCTCTCAGATAACCTATGTCCCCTCGATCTATGGTCACAGTTCACTCTTGTCCCATCTATACTTCAAATCATGTCCATAGCCTGTCTGTGAAAAATAATCACTTCTTATCTACTATGCACTATGGATAGTGGTTAAGTACATGGGCTGGAGGTATGCTGTTTGAATTCATATCACAGTTATTCCCTACCTTGTTGTTTTTTGTGTCCTTCATTGTGGAGTGTGTGTGTGTGTGTGTGTGCGCGCGCGCGCGCGCACGTGTGTCTCAGTTTCATCATCGGTAAAATTAGGATACCAATGAGAATTACATCATTGGACTGCCATAACATTCGGTGAGTTAAAGCAAAGCATTTAGACTAGTGCCTGGCACGTACTAAGCTTTCATATGAAGTCAACTGTGATTGTTTTTTCATTGTCATGCATGTCTCTGGTCATACCACCTCCTTCCTGGACACTTTCCCATGTCATCCCAACTGACACCAATCTGCTTTCTCTAATTCCTTTTCTACTTACCATTCGTATCACATAATCCACGCCTTACAACACATTGTCCAGTTAACCAATTTTTTGTTCCGCAGTGCGTTACTTTTGTCTATGCTAATGGCTCTATGCTGATGAATACATCAGGTCCTGTACAACTTCTTCACGTATACGTCTCGTCTCTCCTAAGTTTAACACCAGTTTACAATTTCTCAGCTAATAGCTTATTCTTTTCTGATGTAATGTAGCTCAGTATATAGCACAACATATAGGAAGGTTCAAAAAGCACATAAGGAGATACTGAAATAGTCCCTTTCATTGGGAGAGCTCCAGAAATGCTTCCCCTCGAGGATTTCATAAACTCTCTCCTCCACTCACTGGTTTAACCAGAAGGTGCAATGTGGATGGTGTTCTGATAGAGGAATCGACAAAGTGCTCTTGAAGATTTGTTTGACTACCTTAGGCTAGTCTGACAAGAAAGTGCGGCAGGCTGAAGTGTTGATGTGGTGCAGGAGAGAGAGGAGGCAGGGTAAAGGATTAAGGAGGGGAAAGTGCAGAGGAGCAGGAGTGTGAAACACATGGCCTTCTCAGGAAAGAATGCATATTATGGTCGGATTGGAAAAGAGAGCTAATGATGTAAGTGGCAAAAGATAGGGGGTGGGTGGGGAGCGGCCTAGAGCAAAGAAACCTGGGTTGGATGCTCCAGACTCCTTAGAGAGTTCGAGGCCTTGAATAACAAGATCTAATTTGCCTTTCAAATCTATCGTTTAGCTGTCACTGTGCAGAACAGATCAAAACAGGGAGTCACCAGAGAAAGGGAGGCCATTTAGTTGTAAGAAGGTTGTTAGTCCAAGTGGATGGTAGTGAATGCCGAAGCTCCTAAAAGTGCAGTGAAGATTAAATGAAAAACATGGGTAAACATGGACTGCAGTGTGTGTGCAGTGGCCAGTATGTGAAAAAAGGGACGTCAAAGAGTCAAGGGCTACTACAAGTTTGATGACACTGCTGCCTGGAAGGATGGTGGTCCCACCAAGTGAGAAAAGAGACACAGGGCAGAACAATTTCAGGAAGGAAAGGTAAGGTAAAGAGAAGGAAAGGTAAAGAGGTCATGTTGCAACAATTTTGAGGTGTCGGTGATATTCAAAATGAAGATGAACAGTAAGTAGAATGGAAATACAGTCTGGAATTTAGGAAAGAAGAAAGACCCGGAGCCGGGAGTCCTTTACTTGCAAGAGGTTCAACGTGGGAGTCCCTGCAGTAAATGAGATCTCCTGAGGATGGGCTGAGAAGAAAGCCAGCCCAGAACCCCAAGAAATACTTAGATTTTAAGGCTGTTGCTCACCCACTGATAGCAAGAAGTGAGACATAAAGACGGAGTCAGGGGGTGCAGAAGCTAAGATACAGTGGGTCATGGCTTGTTTCTTGTGTTTTTAAAACCCTTAAGGCAGCATTCACTCAGATCTGCCCCCATATTTTTACAGTTCATTAATTTTCACTCACTTAAATTTTTTTCTTCTGCCTGAGGACTATCTGTTAGTATTTCCTTTAACTACTATTATGCTGGTGATAAATTCTCTCAGGGTTTTCTCTTTTTTTTTTTTTTCATATAGAAATATCTTTATTTCATCTTCATTCTTGAAGTATATTTTGGCAGGGCACAGGATTTTTTCATTGGGAATTATTTTATTTTATCACATAGAAGATAATATTTCATTTTCTTTTGGTTTCTTTCTTTTTTACTATTGAGAAGTCAGCTGTCAGGCTAATTATTGCTACTATGAAGGTAATTTGCTTTTATTCCACTGAAGGCTTTAGAATTTTTCTATTTGTCTTTGGTTTTCAATAATTGTCCTAAGATGTGCTTAGATGTAGATTGTTTTCATCTTTCTATGCTAGATGTTTGTTCTCAGATAATATCTGTTCTAATATTCCTTTTGCTTCATTCTATCTCTTCTCCTCTTCTCAAACTCCAATGAAATATTGTCTAGTCCTCTTCAAACTCTTTTCATACTATATCCTCCGCCTGTCTTACCTTAGCTGTATTTTTCATCTGTTTACCTTTCTGTGCTTCATTCTGGATATTTTCTTATGACATATCTTTCAGTCCACTATTTACCTCTGTAAACCAAAATTAATTTTAGACTGTAATAAAGAATAAAAGGTATTTATTTGAGCAAAACAGGAGCTGCAGCCCAGGAGACACAGATTCAGGTAGCAAGCTAAACTGTGTTCCACGAGACAAAAAGGATGCCGTCTTTCATAGTTCTTGTCTAGGTTTTCAGTTAGGTCCATTTTAAGTAAATGAGGTGCCCAAGTCACACAGTTCTGATTGGACAGGAAAGACAGCAACCAGAGTTTCCCTGCAGTGGTTGACTCAGGCAGTGTAAACGAACGGGACATAGTGCAGGAAGCCGAGAGTTCAGTCTGAGGTTCTTTCCAGTGTACAGAGTATGTGAGAGGCCCCTGTCAGCAAATGCCTGCTAGGCTCTTATTCTTTATAAAATTTGGGCCCTTGGTTGACCGTGGGTAGTCCACCTCAGCAGATAAATTCCTTCTTGCTGTTCGCATCAAATGAATCTTTCTTCTCGGGGTCCTCACCTCTTAAGCTGTGTCTAACCTGTGCTTAAACACACCCACTGAAGAAGGAGGGAGTCCCTGTCATGGACTCCTTTGCCATGATCTGCCAGCGTGGGAGGCTAAGGCAGAGAGGGTGGCTGAGGCGTGCTCCATGTGGAGCCCAGTGGGGAGGAAAGGAATCTTATCCTGGATATCTGGGGTTGGTTCTCAAGGCGCTGGGCAAAGGCATGGTGATGAGGCCATGAGGTAGGCAGGCTGAAGTCTGATGAGGGCAATTCGGGTACAGGCAGGTGCTAGTGAAAGAAAGTCTCATGGTGCAAACATGTGGATATGGCAGATGGAGTTGAAAAGGCCCAACCTAGACCACTGTCATTATCTGACCTGTCACAGCTCTCTGAAAAAGACTCATTCTCAGCTCCCTGATTGGGAGCTAGCTGTGGGAAAGCCCTATTCCCGGGGCATTTACTGAAAAAGAAAGCCCTATTCCCGGGGCATTTACTGAAGTTGCCAGCATCCTGTATTTTAGTCAGGGGGAAAAAGACAATAAAAATAAACTAATAAATGATAATATATTTGTGAGTATCTGTTGAAGCAAGTCATCCCTCATTATCCTTATGTTTCAAACATTTACACACAGTGTGGTTGTTTATTCTCCCACATAACGCTAAAATCAGCTTGTCTAAGCAAAACAAAATCCCCTTGGTGCTTCTTCGGTAGAATAATGGTGGTGGTGGTGGGGAGAATAGTGCACATAATTGAATTAAACACAATATTGGCTCATGACATGACCCCAACACTAGTCAGGTGTTGGAAGTGCATTTGACTTAGGGAAATTTAACATCTTTATGATGTTGAGTCATCTTATCCTACATCTGGGGACACTGTACCATTTGTGAGTCTTCTTTGGTATCCCTCTTTAGCATTTAAAACATTTAATGTGGCTTTTTCAATATATATTAAAACAAACAAACAAACAAACAAACAAACATTCCTAGGCACTATTTCCTTTGAATTGCTTTTCTGAATAGGGTATATAACACCACTGTATATTTTAACTGGTTATTTTCTGTATGTGTGAAAGGTGGTGATGAATTTATATTGATTTTGTACTCAGATGAATACAGATGAATTCAGACATAATGAGTGATGGTTAATTTCCCCTCCTCCTTTCCAACTGGTGACACTCTTAGCTATTCCATTCCTTTATTCTTACGTAGAACATGTATAAAGTCGCATTTGGAATGCATCCCACTTCTCTTATTTTTGTCTTTGGGTTTCTACAGTGATAATCCTCTTTTGGCTTCCTAACATAGCAAATTAAGAGATTTCTTACCATTTAACCTTCTTTACAGTAATTGGTCGTGGTGCATTATTCCTTGAATATCCTGCTCTGGATTATGTTGGATGACATTTGGGGCTTTTCCATTACGGTGCAAGGTCACATCTACAACCAGCAGTGCAATACTTCTCTGGCTGAGAGATTCATCCGCAAACAGGAAAATGTGTCCGCAGGACCTCACTCAAGTGGCGTCCAGAGTCGAAGGTCAGCCGAAGATTCCCTGGGGCTGAAGGGGTGAAAAGGTGGAACTCCTCAAACCCCAGAAGAGGGGCCCCGTGGTTCCCACGTGCAGCAGGCTCCTCCCTCACTGCGTAGTGCCAGGTGAACTGGGCTCCTCCCCTGGTCCCCGCCGCTCCCCGTTGGCTCGCCTCGGTAAGCCTCGGCCCCGCCCCCCGATTCTGACCCCGCCTCCTCGAGCGGTAGGTAGCCCCGCCCGCTTCCTCTGACGCCTCCGCCCCCACCGCAACCCTCCTCCTCTCAGGC